TTGTTTGTAAACAACAACTCATTGTTTAGGCGTTTGTTTTCAACCATTAATTTAATGTTAACTGACTTTTGAGTTATCAATGAATCCATAATTTCATACAATTTATAAATTATTAAACATTTAAATACAAAAACACTTGAAATGAAATCTAAAACACAATTAAATGCAAAACAGATTCAAAACAACGAAAGCATTGATAATAATAACAACTTTTAAGGGATTGTCTATAAATTACTCCCAATTTATTTATATTAAAAAACAAATTGTATGATTGAAATAAATACAATAATTACAATTAAATGACAAAAACAATGTCACAATTACTACAATTTAAATAAAAACATTTATCATATTAATAATATCAAAAAATGTAATCACTTTTTATGCACTTGTCTATTATGTTTAGCCATATTTGCAGTGTTGCCGCTCCGGTACTCACATCCGGGCCAATGACAGGCATAGGGTTTAACGTTGTTGTGGACATTCTTGTGGTCATTCAAAGCGTTCGTTCGGGCGAACCGTTTGCCACATTCGGGCCAATCGCAGACATACGGCCGCTCACCCGTGTGGACGCGTTGGTGGCTTGTCATCAGATCAGTACGAGTGGCGCTATAGTCACAGCCCGGCCACTGACAGGTCACCAGTTTTTTCTTCTGTACGTAACGGGGCTTCTGGTGATCGGCCACCCGATGCTTATTCATTAGGTTTGCCGTCTGAAACCGTTGCGCACAGCCGTCAAAAGTGCACCGGAAAGTGGGCTCCTTTGAGTGGATCCGTTGGTGACCCGTAAAACTTGGCTTATCCTTAAAGCTCTTCTGGCAGCCAATGAAATCGCACACAAATGGCCGCTCAGTTGTATGACTGAACATGTGTGCCCTTAAAGCGCTATTATTGACATATGTTTTGCCGCAATCTTCGTGCGGACAGTGTATGGGCTTATCGTTGTTGTGGCAAAACTTGCGATGAGCTCTGAGATAACGTTTGTTTTTCGCCACTTTCTTACAGCCGTCATAATCGCAGCGAACGGCTTGACTCGTGTGGAGACGAGTCTTATGAGCGGACATAAGTCTGTAACTCTTGAACCTCTTATGACAGTCGGTTTGGTCACAGATGTATGAATTGGTGGCCAAATCATAGCACCGGCGCTGAAGCTCCAGACGCTGTTTCCTGGGAAGCGCTCGATAGCGGGTCGTGTTGTGCACGTTGTGGTCATCTTGAAAATTAACCAATGATTCGCTCCGAGAATTGCAGTCCTTGTAATTACATTCATTGTCTTCGGGAATCACCTCCTCATCAATGTCTTGTATCGATGCCTTTGAGTCATCCTTCTGTCTGTCTGTCAACACTTCCAGTGGACTAATGGATTGACTCACAATTGATGGCTCAGTTACGTGTCTTAACATATGGTTACGTAAATCTCTATCATTGTTAAACTGTTGGCCGCAACCCGTGTGCGGACATCGTATGCCTTTAATGTGGACTGAGTTGTAGTGAAGTTTGAGATAAGATTTCTTTTTAAACACTTTATTACAGTCGAGAAAATCACAGCAAACGGATGGTTGACTCGTGTGGACAATTGTCTTATGATATCTTAAATGGCTGTAATATTTGAATGCCTTCTGACAATTGGTTTCGTCACAAATGTATGAATTGGTGACCAAATCATAGTATTGGGTGCGAAGGCCTCGCAATCGTTGCCGTCGATACGGATTGTCGTGTATTTTGCGGTGATTTTGAATATTTCTCAAACTTTCTGTCCGAAAGTCGCAGTCATTGTATTTGCATTCAAATGATTTCGTGTTTCGCTTTATCGGCGTTTTGTCGCCCGGAATAACGTTAATGTCTTGCGTCGATGTCTTCGAGACAATCATTTGTCTATCAGTGAGCACTTCCAGTCGAGAAACGCATTTGTGGTCTTTGCGGTGTTTTGTCAGCAGATCTTGCGATCGGCACTTGAATTGACAGCCAATGACATCACATTGCAGTTCTTTGGGCACCGAAACCAGCATTAATTGCGGTCTCAAAACACTAGTTCCAGAGGTTTGTGCCGACGTTTGGTTACCAGAGTTTACGACCAAATAAACCACTTTCTTGTCCTGTGATTGGCTTTGAGTTGTGATCAAAGTCTTCGGCGCATTGTTTGCAGTCTTTTTGTTGACCACTTTATAAGTCATCACTCGATCCACTCGTTGTCCCAATTGTTGTCTGTCTGTCGGCTCTGATTGTCTGACATTACAATCATTTCCATTGAGATTAACATTTGATTCATACGTTTCTTCAAATAAATCTATTATTTGATCCAATTGTTTGTCTTCGCAAAGAGTTTGTGTGTCCACGAGGTTTGTCTCACCACTCAATTGCTGTCCATCTGTGGCATCAGTTTCAGAGACATCGCATTCAGTCTTTATAGGATTGCCATCTGATCCGTATGTCTCGTCATTCAATTGATCCAATTGTCTGAAGTGTATTCTCAAATGTTGTCCAATTCTTGAATAGGTTTTTAAGACACGATTATCATCTAAAGTCATGTCCACTGATTCACCACTTAATTGTAGTTCATCTGAAGCATCGGTTTCTCTGACATTAGTTTTATCACTTATATGACTGCCATCTGATCCGTATGTCTCGTCATTCAATTGATCCAATTGTCTGAAGTGTATTCTCAAATGTTGTCCAATTCTTGAATAGGTTTTTAAGACACGATTATCATCTAAAGTCATGTCCACTGATTCAAAGAGTTTGTGTGTCCACGAGGTTTGTCTCACCACTCAATTGCTGTCCATCTGTGGCATCAGTTTCAGAGACATCGCATTCAGTCTTTATAGGATTGCCATCTGATCCGTATGTCTCGTCATTCAATTGATCCAATTGTCTGAAGGGTTTTCTCAAATGCTGTCCAATTCTTGAATAGGTTTTTAAGACACAATTATCATCTAAAGTCATGTCCACTGATTCGCCACTTAATTGTTGTTCATCTGAAGCATCGGTTTCTCTGACATTAGTTTTATAAGTTATATGACTGCCATCTGATCCGTACGTCTCGTCATTCAATTGATCCAATCGTTGAGACAATAGTCTGAAGTGTTGTTTGTCTTCACAATCGATAAGTGTTTCATATTTTGAGTGAATTTTAATTAAATGTGTTTTCAATTCAAATAAACACTTGATTTCATGTAAAAGTCGTTTGTTTTCAGCCATTAATTCATCCAAAATATCATTTATACTGATTTTAAATGACTTTTTACTTATCATTGAATCCATAATTTACACACAATTTATAAATTATTAAACATTTAAATACAAAAACACTTGAAATGAAATCTAAAACACAATTAAATGCAAAACAGATTCAAAACAACGAAAGCATTGATAAATAATAACAACTTTTAAGGGATTGTCTATAAATTATTGCCAATTTCTTCGTACAGTAAGTATTGTTTATACAATTAATTTGTGGTTAATTTCATTTATTTAATATCAAAATTTCTTTATTTACACACAAATTGAATGATTGAAACAAACAGTTAATTAATATATGATAACAAATACAAACTTTATAATCCAAACCTCAATCAATTTTTATGGCATTGTTTGAAGTGTTTATATATTGACAATAAATTAAATGAATAGAAAATGATTTATTTTATATCAAAAATTAATTAATTACACAATAATTGAATGAATCAAACAAACAATATATGAAAACTAATACAAACTCTTTAATTACAACTAAACAAAAGTAATTCACTTTTTGTGAACTGATTTCATGTGTTTATATCTCGACGAGTGATCGGATGACCTGTACGTACATCCGGGCCAATGACAGGCGAATGGCTGCACATTCTGGTGTATATTCATATGTGTCCGCAGACCACTCGGATCGTTGAACCCTTTGCCGCATTCGGGCCATTCGCAGACATAGGGTCGTTCACCCGTATGCATGTTCTTATGTAAGTCCATTCGGTGCTTAATTTGGGTCGTGTACTCACATCCCGGCCACTGACACGTAAACGTATGTTTTTTCGTATCGTATGGCTTAAAGTTATGGACAGCAATGCGGTGTCTAATCATGAAATACTGGGTTAAGAATAGTTGAGTACATCCATCGACAGTGCATTTAACGGTGGGTTCAGTGCTGTGAATCAATTGGTGACTCTTAAGCCTGTATTTGTCCTTAAATGTCTTGTGACAGCCGTTGAAATCGCAGGCAAACGGCCGATCCGTTTGGTGCATAACTTGATGGTTCTTCAAATCAGAAGCATTGCGTAATATATGGCCGCAGTTGGGGTGCGGACACGCGAACTGTCGATCGGAGTGCATCGATATGTAATGCCTATTCAGGCTGTGCTTATTCTTACAGACTTTGCCGCAATCGGCGTAATCGCAGACCACTTTCTCCACTGTATGGCTATGAATCAAGTGTCGTTTCAATCGATCAAACAATTTGTACACTCGCTCACAGCCCGTGTGGTCACAGATATATGTATTGGTGGTCGAGTCATAACACCGTCTCTTCAGCTCCCAACGCATCTCTCGCTGGGCTTCTGTGGCCGCGTTGTAGTGCGTCCTCCGGTGTGCCCAAAGATATTGGTAAACATTCGTCTGATATTCACAGCCCTCGCGATCGCATCGAAACGTTTCCGATGTTTTGCGCGACAATTGTCCCAACTTTTTGAGCCGTTTATATTGTTCTGTTTCAGTGATCGGGTCAATGGATCCATCGGTCGGTGCGCTCAAGTGATTCAATCGATGCTTTCTTAAACCGACAGCCGATCGGTAACTCTTGAGACAGCCCTCGAAATTGCAGGCAAACGGATGTGCCGTTTGGTGAGCGACTAAATGCCGGTCCAATTGCTGTCTATTCCTATACCGACGATCGCAGTCCTCGTGCGGACACTCATATGCCGTATCACTAGTGGACGGCTCAACACTCTTGGAGTTCCGATGAGAGCGCCGGTAATGTCTTCTCATGATGTCGTGTGTTCTGAAGAGTTTCGGGCAATCGTCGTAATCGCACCCAATGTTCGGTTCGTTGTCTTCACTCTTGGGATTGTCGTGTGTTTTTCGGTGTGCGACCAGATTTGGCCACAAGTGGGTGCAGTAGTCACAGTCTTCGAGATCGCACTGATATACCGCCTGAGTTTCATCCGCCGGCGGCCGAAGGGGTTTCCCTTTCAACTGCTTATCGACCGCCGAAGTCGATGGCCTCCTCTCTTCGTCCGAGTCTTCATTAGCGGCCATCTCTTCCCCGAAATCATTGTCCACTTCATTGCTATTGTCTTCTATTTCTGATGTGTTCCTCTTATTATAGACTCTCTTATAGGTGGGTTCAGTGCTGTGAATCAATTGGTGTCTCTTAAGCCTGTATTTGTCCTTAAATGTCTTGTGACAGCCATTGAAATCGCAGGCAAACGGCCGATCCGTTTGGTGCATAACTTGATGTTTCTTCAAATCGGAAGCATTGGGTAATAGACGGCCGCAGTTGGGGTGCGGACACGGGAACTGCCGCTCGCAGTGCATCCCTATGTAATGCCTGTTCAGACTGGTCTTATTCTTACAGACTTTGCCGCAATCGGCGTAATCGCAGACCACGTTCTCGACTTTGTGAGTACGGATCACGTGTTGTCTCAATCGTTCAAACAATTTGTACACTTTCTGACAGCCCGTGTGGTCACAGATATAGGTATTAGTGGTCGAGTCATAGCACCGACTCTTCAGCTCCCGACGCCTCTCTCGCTGGGCCTCTGAGGCCGGGTTGTTGTGCGACATCCGGTGTCTCTTAAGAGAGTCCCAAACGTTTGTCTGATATTCACAGCCCTCGCGATCGCATCGAAACGTTTCCGATGTCTTGCGCGACAAATGTCTCAACTTTTTCAGCCGTTTGTATTGTTCTGTTTCATAGATCGGGTCAATGGATCCATCGGTCGGTGCGTTCATGTGATCCAATCGATGCCGCGTTAAACTTCTCGCCAAACTGTAACTCTTAGTACAGCCCTCGAAATCGCACTCATATATGGCCTGAGTTTCGCCGACCGGCGGCCGAAAAAGTTTCCTTTTCAACCGCTTATCGGCCGCCGAAGTCGATGGCCTCCACTCTTCGTCCGAGTCTTCATTAGTGACGACAACTTCTAAATCATTGTCATTGTTTGTAAACAACAACTCATTGTTTAGGCGTTTGTTTTCAACCATTAATTTAATGTTAACTGACTTTTGAGTTATCAATGAATCCATAATTTCATACAATTTATAAATTATTAAACATTTAAATACAAAACATTTGAAATGAAATCTAAAACACAATTAAATGCAAAACAGATTCAAAACAACGAAAGCATTGATAATAATAACAACTTTTAAGGGATTGTCTATAAATTACTCACAATTTATTTCTATTAATAAACTAATTGTATGATTGAAATAAATACAATAATTATAATCAAATTACAAAAACAATGTCACAATTACTATAATTTAAATAAAAAATTATTATATTAATAATATAAAAAATGTAATCACTTTTTATGCACTTGTCTATTATGTTTAGCCATATTTGCAGTGTTGCCGCTCCGGTACTCACATCCGGGCCAATGACAGGCGTATGGCTTCACATTGTTGTGGACATTCTTGTGGTCATTCAAAGCGTTCGTTCGGGCGAACCGTTTGCCACATTCGGGCCAATCGCAGACATAGGGCCGCTCACCCGTGTGGACGCGTTGGTGACTTGTCATCACATCAGTACGAGTGGCGCTATAGTCACAGCCCGGCCACTGACAGGTCACCAGTTTTTTCTTCTGTACGTAACGGGGCTTCTGGTGATCGGCCACCCGATGCTTATTCATTAGGTTTGCCGTCTGAAACCGTCGCTCACAGCCGTCAAAAGTGCACCGAAAAGTGGGTTCCTTTGAGTGGATCCGTTGGTGACCCGTAAAACTTGGCTTATCCTTAAAGCTCTTCTGGCAGCCAATGAAATCGCACACAAATGGCCGCTCAGTTGTATGGCTAAACATGTGTGCCCTTAAAGCGCTATTATTGACATACGTTTTGCCGCACCCTTCGTGCGGACAGTGTATGGGCTTATCATTGGTGTGGCATATCTTGCAATGATCTCTGAGATAAGATTTGTTTCTAAACACTTTGTTACAGTCGGCGTAATCGCAGCGAACGGCTTGACTCGTGTGGATACGAGTCTTATGAACGGACATAAGTGTGTAACTCTTGAACCTCTTATGACAGTCGGTTTGGTCACAGATGTATGAATTGGTGGCCAAATCATAGCACCGACGCTGAAGCTCCAGACGCTGTTTCCTGGAAAGCGCCTGATAGCGGGTCGTGTTGTGCACGTTGTGGTCATTTTGAAAATTAACCAATGATTCGCTCCGAGAATTGCAGTCCTTGTAATTACGTTTAAATGATTGCAAATTTAGTTGAATCGGTGGTGCATTGCCGTCGGGAATCACCTCTTCATTCATGTCTTGTATCGATGCCTTTGAGTCATCCTTCTGTCTGTCTGTCAACACTTCCAGTGGACTAATGGATTGGCTCACAATTGATGGCTCAGTTGCGTGTCTTAACATATGGTTACGTAAAGTTCTATCATCGATAAACTGTTGGCCGCAACCCGTGTGCGGACATCGCATGCCTTTGGTGTGGACTGACTTATAGTGATGTTTGAGATAAGATTTCTTTTTAAACACTTTATTACAGTCGAGAAAATCGCAGCAAAAACTCAAGCATTGACTCGTGTGGACAATAGTCTTATGAGTTCTTAAAAGGTGGTAATATTTGAATGCCTTCTGACAATTGGTTTCGTCACAAATGTATGAATTGGTGGCCAAATCATAGTATTGGAAGCAAAGGCCTCGCAATCGCTGCCGTCGATACGGATTGTCGTGTGTTTTGCGGTGATTTTGAATATTTCTCAAACTTTCTGTCCGATAGTCGCAGTCATTGTATTTGCATTCAAATGATTTCCTGTTTTGCTTTATCGGCGTTTTGTCGCCGGGAATAACGTTAATGTCTTGCGTCGACGTCTTCGAGACAATCATTTGTCTATCTGTGAGCACTTCCAGTCGAGAAACGCATTTGTGGTCTTTGCGGTGTTTTTTCAGCAGATCTTGCGATCGGCACTTGAATTGACAGCCAATGACATCGCAGTGCAGTTCTTTGGGCATCACAACCAGCCTTAACTGCGGTCTCAAAACACTAGTTCCAGAGGTTTGTGCCGACGTTTGGTTACCAGAGTTTACGACCAAATAAACCACTTTTTTGTCCTGTGATTGGCTTTGAGTTGTGATCGCAATCTTCGGCGCATTGTTTGCAGTGTTTTTGTTGACCACTTTATAAGTCATCACTCGATCCACTCGTTGTCGCAATTGTTGTCTATCTGTCGGCTCTGATTGTCCGCCATTACAATCATTTCCATTGAGATTAACATTTGATTCATACGTTTCTTCAAATAAATCTATTATTTGATCCAATTGTTTGTCTTCGCAAAGAGTTTGTGTGTCCACGAGGTTTGTCTCACCACTCAATTGCTGTCCATCTGTGG